CGCCCGCCGCCCTGCCTCTGGCTCTGGGCTCCCCAGCCACCCGCCCCGGTGCTCTCGCAGGACGCGCTCTTGCCATGCGCGGGGCGGGAGCGCGGGACGTGCCGGGTGGCAGAGCGCAGTGTGAACACCCGACGCAGAGCCCGACCCGGTGACAAACCCGCACAGGCCCAAGGGGGACCTAGTGTGAGTGCAGGCACCAGCGTCCTGTCTTGGGGCTAGCGTGCCTGCGCCTCGCACTTGCCGAGTGTGATTTGCACAAGCCTGAAGCTCTGCAAGTCAGTGGCCAGCTGCTGCCAGCAACTCCCCCAGGAGTGTTATCATCAAGTGGCTGAAATGAGGGCGGGGCCGCTCTGAAAGCCCCGCCCACTGGCCACGGAGAGGCAAGGAGCAATACGTTTACCCCGACCTCACCATGCCTGCAGATACCAGCTGTGTCGAGTCCTGCACTGCCCCGCGTGGCCTCCTCCACGCCCACGGCCAGTTCCAGGAGCTGGCAGCCTCGGCCCTCGGCCACGCCGGGAGAGCTCGCTCCAGAAGTGGGCGCATTCTCACTCTTTCTGTGCTTCCCCAGGTTTCTTTTTATCCTCCTGGGCCCCAGAGCCAAAGTGAAAGCCTACCACGAGATCGGAAGGGCCGTGGCCACGGTGCTCACGGACGAGGTGAGCCCGGGGCTGGCGAAGGGTTTGGGAGAGAGAGAGCTTACAGCGCTGTAGAGACGCTGGCGCCATCTCTGGAGAAAATAGGGGGGGCAGGCAAAGCTGACGGGAACTCATTCTCACCCCTCGCCAGCCTTCGGATCCTCTTCCGCAGGCCCCGGGCGGGAAGGAGGCAGAAATGGGTCGGCCCTTCGCCCGGCCCAGGGTTAGCTGGCAGTGATCTCAAGACTGTGCGTTCCAGAGACGAAGGGAGTTAGGAGCCGGAATCCCAGTGACACGCAAAGGGAGTTGGGCGTGGGACGTGCTGGTTCGCACAGGGCGCGGGGGGTCCTCAGCGTTAGCAGGGACCTGTCTGTCATCGCCTGCGGCGCTCAGGGCTCCTGGGGTAACACGGCCGCGTTTCCCGCCAGCTCTTCCAGCGGGTGGCCTACCAGGCTCAGGACAGAGACGACCTCATCGCAGGGGTGGACGAGTTTCTGGACGAGCGCCTGCGGCGCTCAGGGCTCCTGGGGTAACACGGCCGCGTTTCCCGCCAGCTCTTCCAGCGGGTGGCCTACCAGGCTCAGGACAGAGACGACCTCATCGCAGGGGTGGACGAGTTTCTGGACGAGCTGACGGTGCTGCCGCCAGGCAAATGGGACCCGACCGTCCGAATCGCTCCACCGAAGTGCCTGCCCTCGCCGCACAGGAGGTACCCGCGGCTTCCCGGGAT